CATAATGGTTAGCGCAGTCATATTATCGATATCGTAAATCCGATTGATTAGACTACGTAAAAAAAAAAAAAAAAAAAAAAGAAAAACCGCTGTAAACCGTCGTCGCGGTATTATATTTTTACGACTGAAGTATTATTACTTTAATAATTACATTTTTGCGATGCGTACGGAACCGCAATGTGCATTAGTTTTAGTAGCGCCGGGACAAAAAAAAAAAAAAAAAAAAAAAAAAGTTTTTAATTTCGACTTATATCTACTGCTATATGCCTATTAAGTAACACCGGTAATACGATATTACAAGATTGCGGTACCGGTCCGTACGCCGTATATGTGTTTTAACGCAGCAGTCCGCATTATCCGCGAGTCCCTTGCAATCTATTTGATGATAAGTCGGCTATAAGTTGGACGACGGAATCATGGCGGCGCGCGCGCGGAATTCCCAAGCGGTTACCCATCCGAGATTTACCGACGTTCATTATATGTTAGGCTATATACGTAGCGGGATTTCGATGTATTGCCGCGAAATCATCTCCGATGATTAGAAAATTCATCAGGCCACGTCATCGGTTTTTTTTCCTTTTTCATTTTTTTTTTTTATTCGGCGTCAGTGTCGGGATACGAGGAGCTTACTCGCTGTACAGTATGATATCAATCCTCCGGTAAGACGCTCATTATTTCTGAAAGCATTGACTTTTTTCGGAACGTGTGTTTTTTGCGGAACATTCACGAAACGCGAGGTTCTAAAACGTTACGTCGCCGTTAGTTTTATTTATTTTTTTTTTTTTTTGTAAATCCATTGTCCGCTTTTGAGTTTCGAACGGGCTAACCGTGTTGAACGATTCCGAAATGTTTCACTCGATGCGTAAACATTGTTCGGAAAAATTGAACACGATAACGAGCGACTTATCGAGAATTTAATAAAAAAATATTCTACTTAGCATAATTAATAACTATAGTTACTATAGTTACTATTACTATACAGTAGTATGTATTGTAATAGATGTAAAATATTACTTTTGTAATAACTTTAGTAAACTATATACATTTGATATTATGAACAATATTTTTAGCCTGCCTAGTGGTCAGCGCATCTTTTTAAAATTTTAAATGACGTTTTTGCATTGGCCGCCCGAATTATCGCGGAAAAATATTGTTCTCGGGTCGCGACATTTGGCGGCTGCAGCGAGGACAATACAAATAAGCACGGCTCGGATTTTCTAACATTGGCTAATTATTACAGCATACGGGAAAAGTAGCAGAATAAACTTTGCATTTGTTCTACGCACCGGGGACTCAAAAGCATATGGAAATTATTTGCATGTTTTAAGTATTTTAGATTTGTATTGCTGTGCTTTGTTAACGTGCATAATATAACGATTTGTTTTGTATTTTTCATAAATAGTAGAAAACAAATCTGTCATTCGTGCGAATCCATCATAAGAAAAGTATCTACATATTCGTTTCATATTATAATCTATTTTTAAGTAGTCCGGCGTATTGACTTATCGAACAGTCGACATTTATGACTTTTTGTCGGTTGTAATTCCTATTTTTATATTAAAAAAAAAAAATAAAATAAATATTTAAATTAAAAAAAAATAAATAAATAAATATTTAAATTAAAAAAATACGCACTTTCTCTTTTACCATTTGTCATGTTTTCCGGTCATATTGTAAGGCATACTTCAATTATTCGCGGTGCTACAAAATCCGAGCACTGATAATCAGTGTTACAAGTATTATAGTACGCCTAACGGAGATTCCGTTCGCCGAGCGTTTTCGCCGTTGTTCGAACGTTATTTAGACGCCGCGCCGAGTTGACGAGCGGGCGGATTTTTATTTTCGCTGCCCCTCCCCCCACTCCTTCTCCTCCCACCAACACCGCCATTCCGCGCAAATAAAACGGTTCGAACTCGCAGAAATAACATTAAGTCGTAACAATAATTATAGCGCGAAATTCGTAACGATCGCTGCGTTAGGCGTAATGCAAGTGCAGAGCAAGGAGAACGGGAAACCCGGACGGACGACGACGACGACGAGGCCGAAAATGATATTATTATTATTATTATTATTATTATTAGGTACAACGGGCTCGGGGGGACTCCGCAGGCACGAAACGCTCGGCGGCAGTCAACTGCACGCGGCGACGCCGGAACGCAACGTCAACGCCCGCGATCGTTGACAACCGGAAGTGGAACGGGTCTTTTGCGATAAAGCCGCGCGTCACCGTTCGTCGCTGCAGCGATTTCGAGTATTTTAGTCGGGTCCCCGGCGTAATGGTTAATGATATTATAGGGAGGCAGCGATAATAATAACGATAAAACACTATTGTAATTATTATTACTTGGAAACTAATTTATTTCAACTCCGAAACGCTATACCGGAGACTTTACTGTGCCGCGCGGTTTTGTCGGTGCGCGCGGCGTAGAGCGAACGGAAAAAAAAGAAAAAAAAAAGAAAAAAAAGGCGAACAATTTAAACGCGCCTCCCCGCGTTTTCGCGGGCACGCGTAACAATATAATATTCATCTGGATAAAAGATAACGACCGAAGATTTATTCAATGTAAAAACAACAGTAAATGTTCAGCTATCTGCGAATAACGTTTAGTTACGATTACATGTTATTCTATGTTAAAGGTAATGTTTTATCAAGATTGTTCGAAAACATAACATTAACTCGAGAAGAATGTAGATAACATTCAAAATAGTACAGGCACCGGCGGGGCCGCATTTGGGTAGGGACAACAGGGCGCGGTTGCCAAGGCGCCTGAATTTAAGTGGCGTCTTTAATTTTTTATAAAGACGTACAGAGATCACGGGCCGAACGGTGGGAGACAGGGGCATAAACGTGCGTGGCGATTGTCTAATTGCTCGTCGCGTTTTTTCGTTGCCCCCGGGGCTGCAAATACAGCCCTGGACATTAGTAACTATAACGATGCTGTCTAGTGTCTTTTTTTCTTTTTTTTTTTTTTTTGAACACGAACAATCGCGTCTTCACAATATAATACACAACATGATATCATCACGACATATTTGTGCATCGCCGAGGTGATTTGAAAATAAAACGGTGATACTTTATAGTACAATAATTAATAATAATATAACGCACAAACTATTAATGTAGTTTGTGTCGATTATCTACGTATTTGCCAAAACTAGATAATAATAATTTTGTTTTGGTTTTATTTAGATATACAAGAATGGTAAATCGTTATCTGGTTTATTATTTTTTTGATGATTTCACACAGATAATTCCAACTCTGATTATTAAGTAGGTAGGTAAATAAAACGTAAGCGTCCATAATATTGTTATGGTATAGCGTTATACACACGAATATATTATACTTTTTCGTATAATGTTTAAATAAATATAAGTATTTATAAATCTTTCACACGGGTCGTTATAAATTCTTTTTTTTTTTTTATTTTTATTTATTTTTTTTTTGTTGGGTTGTTGTCCTATTCGTAACATGTGATACGTTCATAAATTACAATTATCACTCGAATAAATAGCATGGCCACACCTAACCGAACATCCGAACCTGGAACGCAAACGCCAATATTATTATTAGGTATTATTTAAATTACCTACGTTTCGGAACAAAAAAAATCACTAGCTTCACGCCAACTATACGTTATTATATACAGGGTGTCTGGAGAGAAACTGTTTTCTGTGAAATCATAAAAACACCCGTGAACAGCAAAGTTCCGTATATTTTTAGAGTCTAATTTCCCACCACTCATTTTATATAATATAGAAATATTTTATACGCATAAAACAATAAACAATTAATCGAACGGTATAATAATACAACAATTTATATTTCAATCATAGATATTATACTTCCCCCCTTTTCACAAAAATTGTAAAATTTGAGCATAAAAATGGCATGTCCGTTATAGTATAACGCCTTGTACAAAATGGCATCCTTTTGATTTCATTTAGAGGGTCTGAAGGGGTGTTCAAAGTTAATAATAGCATTTACCTATCGCAATAACGTGGTGAAGTTCATATTTAAATTCATCTTTATATTTTAATCAATTCGGTCTGCCAATCAAACAACACTAATCTCGAGTTTGAGCTCATTCGGTTAAGAGGAAGGTGCTAAAAGTCTTCATAAGAAACGCGAAAAAGATAAATATCCATAAAAGACACCATCAGGGCCGTCTCTAGTGCAGGGGTCTCGACCTAGACTCTGTGTTTTCACGCATATCACTAAGTGCATATGTCCAGTGCTTTTATAGATACAATATAAAAAAGTCGAACAAAAAGTATTAAGGTCATCCGATTGTCTCACTCTAATATTGCTACCGTTAAACACGCCTAAAATAAATTCTGTAGATAGGCACACGTTGTTTAATTTAAGGTCCGGCAATTTGTACCTCTGCCTCGAACTCTGCGAATTGTAAGAACGGCCCTGGACACAATACAACGCAACAAAAAGGCGTACACAAGGTAGCACTGTACTCTCGAAATTTAAAACTGTTCACCGTCGCGGGGCACACACTGTATAACATTATTATTATAATAATATTATATTGGATTATATTATGTTATTCGATATCACACTGCCTCCGCCGCAACACCGAGAGCAGCACTCAACGGACACTTATCGGAAATAATAATAATAATATATTCTAAAACCACTCGAAACAATTGCTATACGATTGCTCGTAATATGGGTATAATATAATACCGATGCAGTGTATGTGCTCGTTAGCGACTTTATAAGTTTCTGACGGTCACGGGAATAAATAAATCACGATGAGGTTTTGTTTCATGATGAAAACTATAAAACAAACGAACGTATCAACACGTCATATTATATCATTATAACGTATAGGCATAATTGTATGATGTACCTATACTGTTGATATTTTACAGTTCGCCTCCATTCGACCGTTCAACGATCATAAGTTATTTTACATACAAATCTAATTGGAATTCGCGCAATTGCAATGTTTCATAAATTTAAATCAAAAATTGTATTACATCGGCAATGGGCATGACACGCTTGGGGAGAAGACGGTTCGATGATAAAAAAGATGATGTAGAGGAAAGTTGTATAGGAATAAGGCGTCTGGGAAGATCATCATATTGCAGTCAAGATTGGAGAACTGTGTTAAATGAGATGCAAAACTTGTGGAACCAACTATCCAATAGAGAAAAATATAAGTGGCAATATATATGTTTAGCTATATGGCCAGAATAACAGATAACAAAGCAAAATAATAAAAAAAAAAAACAATTAGATTGGAGTAAAAAGTAAAAGCCTGAGTTCTTATTTTGATGTGGAAAAGTTGATAATCTATACTATCATGATCCAGGGTCGTTAACTCGTCGGCAATAAATTCGATTATGTTTCTTATTACACCGAGTGAATCGATATACGATTGAGCCACCGAGCGACTCTGAATATTATAATCGGCGCTACGCGTTTTATGATTGGTTCTTAGATTGATCGTTATTGTCAACACGCTTGAAGGAAGCGAGCGTGATCGGTGGAGGAAGTTTATAGGGGCGGGGGGATGCGTGAACATGACGTGTTTTCGTCGTCCGAGCGGTTTAGTCTTATTCTGAATAGAGTATAGGTTTAATTATGTTCACTATATAATTATGACAATAACAACTTTACTAAAAAAAAATATCTACTCTAGAGAATGAGTCATTTCAATTTTTAAATTAACTTTTTACTTAACACAGTTAATTGTTAATTGTTGTTCAGTTGACTTACATATACTTAATGGAGTTAATAAAATATATATATATACCTGTTACATTACGTTTTATTCATTAACTTTGGCCCAACCTTGGTATTAATCATATTATTAGTATTGTATACGACACTGGCGGCTACTGTTTTATTCGCCCTTGATTAAGTTTATTAAAGAATATAACATCACTATACGACGATGGATTTTCAATCGAAGAATAATAATAATTATTATTACTACGTATAGGTGTTATTTTAATCATAATACGGTCGTTCGTTTCGCCAATACGATGATCCATCACCAAACTATTATTACTACATATAACATTACAGTCGATCAAATCAATAGACTACCCCGACAATACGTCGTTCTCGGTATAATAATATTATACTTTCACAATATATATATATATATGTAGTATAGAGGTGTATTCAACAATGGATCGCGCCCGAATTTAGAGTCTCTTTCTTCCTTTAAACACGCGGTCATCTGTTTGGATTCAATCAATACGGTAACCTATACTCCTATGAAAGAGCTCGTCGAATAACAATAATAGCATACGACAAAGCCGATCGATCGGGATCGGCGAAGCGGGCTGTACATATTATTATTATATTATTTTAACAATGTGGCGGTGACGCGTTTTAGTTTTCCGGCAACATAACGAACCGAAATATTGTTTAAACATTATCCTCTTGTATATTATTATTATTATTATTATTATTTCGTCGACGACAATGTGAGAAGAAAACAAAATTCTATAGCCCGCTGTCGGATCGGTAAATTAAAATTGTCGGATTCATAGAAAATTACTTATTATACGGGTAGTCGAGGTTACTATAAAGATATTATACGATAAACCACGTCCGTAAACCACGTTTCGAGCCGAAGACTTGCTTCAGCTTCGATCGCTTAAGAGGACGCCACACCGACATCTATACTGCCTTTGTTTTACATATTCAAGACGTGGCAAATTTGCGTTTAGTAGGACGCGTTTTGTGTCGTTAATTATAATATTCAATTAAACTGAACACAGTACCAAAATTAAACGTCAGAAGATTATATACACCTCGGTGTTGATGTTTTTTTCTATATTTTTATTTTAAAGCGAGATATGAGTATGTGAACCACGTTGAAAATTATTATATCTTGCTTAAAAATTAAAATATCGAAAGAATTTGAAGCCAGAACACGCATAATCATTTTACCTTAACATTTGGTGTAACAAGTCAATTTGCTTTGATATTTAAAACTGACGGCACAACATTTGTCCTGCTAAACGCAACATTGCTGTGTCGCGCGTTCGTAGACGGACACAATAGATGTGGGCGTGGCGTCTTCTTAAGCGACGGTTTAATTATTAAAATTATACAAATAATATTAAGAATTATATAGATACCTACACCTTTATTTATTTTGACATCAAAACATCGCGCGCATTATCGGGTGAAAAAATAATACACTGATACTAGTGCACGATTGTAGATCAATTCAAGTTTCAAAAAATGTACACTTGTAAACTAACAGCAAATATCGTAATAATTGACTTCACGCGATATAGTATCAAAATCAATCTGTCATTAATGGATGTAAAAAAAAAAAAAAAAATAACAGTTTGAAAATCAATAAAACGCGAGTTAAAAGTTAATCGTTAATATTTGACTTTTAACTTTTTAACTCGTTAATGCCCGGGGCCTCGAATAGTAATACAGTCACGATAAAATGTGTACAATGTATACAATAGAGCTGCGATAAAAGAATACATTATGTTATTATTATTATTCGTATTATAGGCCATTCCATCTGTTTAGAATCTAAAATTTAAATTAAATTCGTTTATGTAAATATTACGTAAATGTAATTATATTTGATCTGTTCGGCCGAGTGTGAAAATAAAATACACGTATATCTTTTGACGCGATCGTTTTATTTAAAACAAAAATTTAGTGTTTACACTTCTACAGAGCGTGTGTTGCGTGCGCGTGTATGTGTGCGTGTCAAATAAACCCATAGAAAAGGTCTTTCTAATTACTTTTTTTTTTTTTTACATTTTCAATTATTCATCGACGCGGTTTATTTTCCGTTCACGAAAAAAATAAAAAATAAATAAAATTACATAAATCGGTTCGGTAAACTTCTGATATAAAATATAAATTATATTACCTATAGAAATCGCGTCACATTTTAATTATAAGTTAAAACACATTTATGTATACGTTAAATTGAAAAAAAAAAAACATTTTACATATTATATTATTATAATAATACTACATTCATTTAAAATTCAAATTAATAATTATGTATAGTTGTGAATTAACTTTTTTTTTTTATAAGATTCAAAGCTGTTTTTTTTCCTTTTTTCTTCAATTTTAAAAGGTACTCAGTTGTTTTTATAATGTTTCGTGTATTTTTTTTTTTTTTTTTTTTTTTTTTTTTTTAAATTAATATTAATTTGTTTCGCAGTAATGAACTTTACTAACGGACGGTGGTTTTATACGAGGAAAGGCTTAAGTCAATTTCTACCAATTTTTGGTTTACTATAATTTGACGATTTTGTGTGAAATGTTAATCCACATTGAATGCAGGTGCCAATACTACCTGCGGTACCAACACAATTTACTGATTTAGGTTCGCGATGAAAATATTATGGAATAATTTCGGTAGTGAGTCCCAAATTTAAATTTCGTCAATACATTTTTATATCAAAATGAAAAAGATAAGTCGTTCGAGGTAAATATAAACGCTAAATGATTTTAGCAAATTGAAACTTTTGAAAGTAAATAACAATCAGTAACGTAATTAGGAATTTGTTCCAAGGAAGGGGGATATAATTTTTATTATCACATTACTTCACCCTCGCTACCCCGGAGATGGAAAAACTATACAACATTTCAAAAATTACCATATTTTAACATCGAATAATATTTGAACTGTTTAAACTCAATTCGCCGTTCGCATTGGAATCTTAAGCCACGGTTTCTTTAATGGGGAAAATCTTAACATTTATCGTGAAAAAACAATGAATGGTATCTATGGTATCTAATTATATCACTAATATATCATATATAACCACTAATTATAAGTCACGTCCAATAAATTCTACTTTTAAACGTAAACTACAGATCTTGAGATTGACTTGAGACATGAAACTGAAATTTACTTTTTTTTTATACGTTATATTTTTACAGGCCACAGAAACTTAAATACAATTATAATATCTCTTACTTATTTACATAAAAAAAAAAAACTCCATAAACGTCTAATATCTCACTCGACCCCCCCCCCCCCCTCTGTTGTTATATCACTTATGGCAATTATTTTAAATTAATCCAAAAATGGTAAAAAAAGATTTACGCAAAATAAATATAAAAGCCGAATTGTAAAAGTTTTAAGACATTATTTTTCTTACATATAATAAGTAAATATTTGAAAATGCGTTTTACATTGTATGAGTAAAAAACGAAGTAAGTCCATATTTTTCAAACTTCAAGAATATTTTTGGCCTAGAAAAGACAAATATTAAGACGTGACAATAGGACAATAATTATTGTGTGCTATTATGATCATTTTTTTGGTCATTAAAATACCTTATTTCTTTAACGTTATGTAGGCCAATATAATTTTCTTTCTCTTTAAATATGTTTAAAAATGAACTTGCATTACGGTTGCAGTGAGCCTTTTGAATTATTTAAAAGAAAAAAAAAAAAAAACGAAAGTCACAAGTTTTTTTTTGTATCATCGGTAAAGTAACCGTATTTTATACATGGGTAGTTAAGACCCGCTTTCTCTAAAAGAAAAAACACGTCCGTTAACGCGTCTAGTTAAATAGAAATTTTTCAATTAGATTTCTTACATTTATAGTATACGACTCCACTCGGTATATAACATATATTGTTTTTTTTAACGCTATATTAGTATCGCGTTTAAATTAAAAAATGATTACGTACCTATTGTACGCGCTAAATTGAGCGAGACGAGACGATGGCCGCTACAGTTTATCAGACATATTTATCTTTTTTTACTTCTCCCCCTCCCCCGTCGTTGCTTTCAGTACAGCTTGTTTGGTTCCTCGTGTAATTATTTCGCTACAAACGTAAATACATTATAATTCAACGTCAGGACGATCGTGTTATTCGTTACAAGCTATATTTACTTTGGTTCCAAAAGTCTTTTTTTGAAGAAAAAAAAAAAAATAATTGTCTATTAATACGGACCGGTTAATTTTGGCAACGGTCCGTATGATATTATAAATTATAATATTTTACGGGCTTAAAAGAAAATGTTAATTAACATTAAATTAAAACATAATATTAAGTACGTTTATTTTGTTTTTCGAGTAAATGGAAAACAAACAGTCTTTGAGATGATATATTTACCCGAATAAATCCGCAGTCGCCTTTGATGTTCGAGACGTATGTATATATATATATATATATATGTACACAAGAATAATATTATTTCAACCGTTTGCCAAAATTGGAAGCTAATTTCATCAACT